ATTTCCAGATTCTGTTTCCGGAAATGGACCCGCCACGTCGATTGCAATTCTCTTAAATGGGCTGCACACATTGTACTATCGCATTGGAGCTTTTAAGCGCTTCTGGGGTCTATTGTTTGCCGCGCAAATGGCGCACTTTTTGCACCATTCCTTTACATCTCGTTGACATTTGACCCAATAGAACCGAAGTTTTCCAAGCGTCCTCGTCACCCCAAGATGCCCTCCAGTAGTTCCACCATGGATTTCCTGCAGCACTTCTGGTATCCTGTTTCTGGGGATCATTAACTGCTTCCGGTCTTCTCCCCCTTCTGGAGTCTTCTGAACGCGCTTGAGAAGTCCGTCACTTAAGATGATGGAATGCCATTGGGCCCAGTACGATTTCACATTCGGCGAATATTTGGCGACTTCCTGCCACGTTGGTTTTTGGTCGTTCTTCTTCCATTCGATGATGGGCTTCAAATCTGGGTCCCTTTCCTGGTCTTGTTGAACCTCATCGGACTGCCATTGATCATCCACAAGTGTAGTCCTGCGAATATACACATCTTTTTCTTCAGCCCTATTTATTTTTCTAAATGAAGTCGGCGCCATCTGGCTTCCTCTGCAACGACTTTGTATATGTCCCAGCTTTCCACATCTCCAACATCGGATTTCCTTCTTCTCTGGTAGATTCTCTTTAAGAACTCGCCTGATTGCTTCAATTATACTGGGTTCCTCCTCTTTCTCTTCATCGACTCTCCTAATTCTAGGCTGGCTCCTGCAGCTCTGCTTTGCCGCCTCGAATTCTAAAGCTCGAGCCAATGCATCAACTAGTTGGCTCGAATGAGCCAATGTCATTGTCCCGAAGTCCATCCAAAAAGGCTTGAACCGCTAATCGGTACATAACGGTCGTTGGAGTAGCTGGATATGCCAGCCGGACCAAGCGTGCAATATCAGCCTCAAATTCTTGCAAAGTCTCGTTAGAGTTAGCGATTCTTCAGTTGGGAATGGTACACATGTTCAAGATGTGTCTGGCCATATCGCAGTTCCAGATGTTTAACCAACTCTTCGTAATCTTCTTGTTAGTTGGGAGAGAGTGTCTGCAAGATGTGCGTTGCATCTCCGCGTAAAGCCAGAATCAATGCTGTAGCTTTTTCTTCTGGTAACCAGCTATTTGCTTTTGCTGCTGCCTCAAACTGACGGATGTAGTTGGTCCAAGAAGTTTTTCCATCGAACTGAGGTGGTTTCATCCGGACTCGGCCCCCTCTTGCACTGTTCCTGGTTCCGCCAGCATCATGGATAAATTAACAGCTGTTAATTTACTATTTATTTCTTTAATTTTGAGTTCCAATTTATCATCCAATTCCATCCTTACGTCATTCAATTCCATCCTTACGTCGTCAAATTTTTGCCCTATTTTCTCTTCTAATTCATTGACATTATCTAACATCTTCTGTTCCAAAAAGTCTTTTAAATTTTTGAAATTATCCAGAATTTTCTGTTGTAATTCGCTAGAATTTTCCAGCATTTTCTGTTGTAAATCGACTTTCAGATCTTTAGAATTTTCTATCATTTTCTGTTACAGATCGTCCATTAAATCGTTGGCATTTTCCAGAATTTTCTGTTGCAACTCGTTGAAATTTTCCAGAATCTTTTTTTGTAAATCGACTTTTAAATCGCTAGAATTTTCTAGCATTTTTTGTTGTAAATCGACCTTCAGATGTTTTAAATTTTACAACATTAAATGCATGCCACAAGGGCCTTCAAATAAATACTCATCTGGATTTTTACCTTCCTGTTCCAACGCTTCTCGAAGCCGCTGCTGCAACACTTTCTTTTTTCCAGTTGTATCACATTTCCTTTCTTCTAGCTACCGCCACTTTTAAGTCCATTAACGAAACCATTTTCGCGAAGTTTCATACTAACCGCACTCCTGACACCACTTGTAACGCTTTAAGTGTTCGTAGTGTGAATTAAAACACATGAAATAAAGAAATAAATAATTTTTTTTCTAAAATGTAAAACAAAATTATATTTTTATGTTTTACAAAAATTTATAGTTTATTAGCTTGTTTCTAATAAATCGACTTTGACGCATAGGGTTCAGTCCAAACTATTCACATAAAAAGATCAGTCTACTCTATAAAATAAGTAACTCCTATGAATGTACTACGGAAAAAAAAGTTTCAAAGTTTCATGAGGTTCATAATTGATGCATATTGCAGTCACAACGTGATTGGTAATCCGCAGGTATGCACGCATATATGCATCATTTGCGTCATCAATTGAGGTTCATATAGCCAGCACATGTGATGGTTGGAGAAACATTGTGAGGTTCATAAGTGACGCATATTGCAGTCACAACGTGATTCTTAATCCGCACGTATGTCACATATATGATCATTTGCGTCAATCATGAGGTTCATATTGCCAGCACATGTGATGGTTGGAGATTAATAGGTGAATTTTGGACTTGCATTGCCTTAATTTAATTTATTTTCTTACGTTTCAATTAGTAAGTAATTATCTTTAATTGTCTTGAAGACAATTAACTGCAGTTATTACCTAAAGACCATTAGAGATAATTACTAATCGAAACACTGTAAGTAAGAAAAATAATCAAATTAAGACAAGGCAAGTCCAAAACTCAGCTGTTAATCATTCATAAAATTGATTTTTGTTATAATTGTCATATTATAATGTCAACTGACATCGGTCAGTTTTAAAGTTTAAAGATGAATGAAATTGAGGAAGCAGCTGAAAAGGCGAAAAATTGCGGCCTGCTGCCGGAAAAATCAAAATCTTTATACGAAAAAACTTACTTCGAATATATCAAATGGTGTAACATTGTTGTTTTTAATTTTTGACGTTTCATTATAGCCCGCTGGGTCATAATAACGCCCGCGGGCTATAAAAAGACGTTTACGTCAAAGAATTTTTGTTATAATTGTCATATTATAATGTCATCGTGCATAAATTCTTTTACGTAAACGTCTTTAAAAACAATAATATATTAAAAACAATAATATATTAATCGTGCATAAAGTTTTGTATGCATTGCTGGCATAACTGGTTTTTATGGTCCTACGACGCTTTTCTAGCCCTCGCGCTAACGCGCTCGGGCTCGAAATAGCGCCTCGGACCATAAAAACCTTATTATGCCCTTAATACATAAATAACTATTATTGCGAAATTTTGGTCAATAAGTAATAATCCAAAATATCTTTTTATTTAAGTCATTTATTTTAGTTTTGGTGACAATTGTTTACAATTACGAGATATAGAAAGATAACTAATTTTAATTAAAATAAGGTATCTTTTTAAAAGTTCATAAATAAATTTATGATATATTAATTTATAAATGTTTTCTTAACTCGTTGATCTTAAGATCAATTCCAATTTGGAATTCCAAATAAAATTATGTATATATTTTTTTACAAATCTGGATTTTTTTAACCATGTACTTTAAGTCAATTTTTTGAAAATTTTAGTTATACCAATCGCGTGCGTGTATTCCCATTAATCATAAAATTAATATTATATCGCAGCGTTTTTACCGTCACGCATGATTCCGCACGACGTGAATGCGATGAGCGTTTTGATGTCCCTCACGGTGCATTTATGACTTAACATTAGATGCCAAGCTATGTTTAAATAAAAAAAGACCCAAAACCGGTGAATATTTTTACTGAAATGCGACTAATTTTTTGTATTTATTATTTATAATACGTTTTATATTTATCCAATCCAACTAATACATTTCATTCCATTTATATTTTTACTATTTTTTAAATATTATCTTTGGTTTTTATCTAATTTCCTTCCAAATATATAATAGTAATACTTACAAAAAGAAACATTTTTTTAAAATTCCATTTACTTTAGCCCTTTAACCCACCAAAATACAGGGTCGTCCTTTACAAATTTGAGAATCAATAAAAAAGGGTTAAAATTATATATATCAATCTTCTTAATAAACTTATATCGAAAACTCTACAGTTTTAGAAATACAAGGTGCTGAAGTTGCATTTATTTTTTTGAATATAATATAATTTCTCCTAAACAAAAGAACATAATATTATGTCATTAAAATTTGGTGAGTAATGTTTTATTACTCCATAGTTGGGCATTATATTCCTTTTTATACTACAAGCGTCACTACTATTAATGTCTCTTTTTAGCGAGAAAAAAGTACGCCAATGATCTAAAAAAATGTTTTCTACATCGACAGTCGATTAACGACAAACGTCCTTTTAAAGGTTTACGTAAAATAATACAAATTTTAGGAAAAAATCACAGTGTATTGGAATTGCAATTTTAATGTTAAAGAAAAAACTTCAAGGTAACCTTTTTCTATAATTCGACTGTTATTTAAATAAAGTTAAGATCATTGGCGTACCTTTTTTTCTAAAAAGAGATATTATTACCCCCGTAGTGCCGCCACTGCTTGTAGTATGAAAACGAATTTTATCTACGCCAGTGAGATAAGAACTTCTTATCCCACTCATTTTGAGTGAGATAAGAAGTTCATTAACGCACGCGTTTTTCTCTGCTTTTAACCAATCAAATAAAAAAGTCAAAATGTCAAAATAACCCTAAATTAAGTCTTAGACAAAAATAATTACCGTTTATTTTTTTTCATTTAGAGGCGTAGATAAAAATTTGTACTTTTGCGATTGCCCAACTCGTGCTACGCACTCGTTGGGCAAATTTCACATGCGTACGTTAATAAAGCTCTTATCCCACTTATATCGTAAATAACTATAATGCCTAACTATGGTACCTGATAAAAACATAACTCACCAAATTTCAAGAAGAAATTATTTTGTATTTCTGAAACAGTTGAGTTTTCGATATAAGTTTAATAAGTAAATTAATATTATTACGTTTATTATTGATTCTAAAATCATTAAGGTTACTTTTGATCCTTCATTAATAAATTTTGTCTGAGAACGATTTTAACAGTTTCAACTTTTTGCTGGTTTAATTAAAAACTAATTAAAAAATATACATTTTTAATTTAGGCAAATAAGAACGCGACAGGAAATCTAAACGAAAAAGGAACGAGCAAATCCACCCAACAATTGCTACAAATTATCGACACAACTCTATTAAAGTGTTACCTACAAACGAACGATGCTTTGGTGGCGCCACTTCTGCGTTTAAACTACTGCCATTTAGCGGAGACCGAAAAAATTCTAAAGAAAAAAGGAAAACACAACGAGTTGATTATTTTGTATCAAACCAAAGGTCAGCATAGAAAAGCCCTGGAATTACTGCAATCGGAAGGTAGTTCCGAGAGAACTGTAACCTATTTACAGAATTTGGGTACGGAAAATATGGGTTTAATTTTGGAATTTGCTGATTGGATTCTCAAGGAATCTCCAGAGGAAGGTCTTAAGGTAAACTTTATTTATATAGAACATACAGTGTGATTTAAAAACATATGCCCTATTAATATGAATATATGCTTCACATCTTCTTTTCTTCCTTTTTCCTTGTTAGTAACAATGAACTTGCGTCGTAAGACGGCCGCCCAAGTTCGTGCTCAATAAATAGTCCGGGAGGCAGTGAAGATTTTCGGTACTTATTTTCCCAGTCGGCAAACACCGATACAATTATTGGGTTTGTAATTCTGAGCAAAATTTATATATATTTAGGGGGGGGGTTCCGATGGGTTAAGGCGGAAAATGCGTTATAAAGTACAAATATATTGCACTTTTTTTTCCAGTGATAAAAATAATTCCATTAGTGAGAGATATAGTGAACTTAAGAAAAAAAATAGTCTGGCTAATCTGTGAGTATGGGTAATATGTCTGGCAGGTGGAAAAATTATCAAAACCATTGCCCTTATTTTCGCAGTCCTAAAAATTTTGTTAGATAATAGTTTATATTATAATTACAGCTGCAAATATAGTCTGGCTAATGTGGAACACTCCGAAAGCCTTGCCAGACTCGTCCAACCCTCCACAGGCGCGCTAAATTCGGCATGTTCAATTATACAGGCGATTGTTGTCATCTCTACATGTTTTTACTTTTCATAATGTATGATAAGAAAATAATTTGTGTAAAGCAAAATTTAAATATGGTTAAAAAAAAATGTCAGTCCGTCCGCCACCAAAAAACTTCTTGCGGGGCTTTCGTGATTGTAAATAACAGCCAGACGTGTATCATGTGACAAATTTTCAAATCCGGGAAAATAAGAGCAAAATTTTTGTAATTCTTACGATTTTCAAGATGCCGCCAGAACAATTTGCCAATTTCATAAATCAGCCAGACTTAATTTTGATTATAGTTTATGACAGTACCAAATAATGGGTTAAATTTTAAGCATGGGAAAATAAGGGCTACGTATTTCAAAAACCGGTCAAATTTTTGCTTCCGCAAATTTTTGCTTCCGCAAATTTTCAGCCAGACTGACTTTCCTTCACTTGGGATGTGCCAGACTGTTATTTCCATTAATAAAATGACTCACTTTAATTAATGTGAAATATTTATGACTAGGAAAATAAGTGGACTTGACTTTTTGGCTCATCTAGTGAACCCATCCGAAAATTTTAGCCAGACACACAAATTGTCGTTTTGTGTCACCATTTGAACAAACTTAATGACATTCATATAATAAAGATAAAAATCTTCACTGCCTCCCGGACTAAAAGGTGTGCCCGTCTGGATTTTTCCATGATACACAAAAACCGGTATGCTGATGCGCATGTTATAGCTATCTCTCTCGCACCGTGTGACGTCAAGCGCTTTTAAAACTAATGTAACATATTTAAAGTAACAATTAATTTCTTACCTTATATATTTTTTTAAAATATTTATTATTTAATTGAATTGTCTTAAGTTACGCTAGACCGAATTGTATATTTTTTTAATGTGAACGGTAACAAAATTATAAAAATTAAAAATGTATTTATACAGGTAATAATAACGCACGCCGCTTTAAAGTGTCAAGAGAAAAAAAAATTCAAAACTGCTTTTTTTACTTGTAACACTTTCGAAGCAGGTTTCCGATACAATTGTGTTTTAATTTTTATTATTAGTAAGAACTTATGCAAGCTATAAAAAAATATGTGGTTAGGGTGAAAAGTTACTTTAAGTACCTAACAGAAAATTGGGCATACCAAAAATTACCTTTAATTATCGATTTTTATTTTCATTTTATCCTCTCTCTTGCATGCATTTATCCACTGTGCTGTCAGATCTTTATTTTTTGGAAATCGAAAATATTTAATGTTAGGTTAGGTTGGGTTTCTGTTCAGATTTCTGCTGTCTGCTTCTACAGCACAGCCCGGCATATTTTAAATAGTTGTTAAGTCCAACAAATACAACATTAACTTAATAAATAACGTGGTATAAAACACCCGTGCGTGGCTTATAAAAAATACCTTGTAAATAGTTATTGCTGTTCAATAAATGCAGTAAAAACTTACGAAAAACGTTGCAAAACCATCGCGCGGCTTATGCTTTGAAAAACACAATCATTTTGGATAAAACTCAAAAGAAATCGTAGTAAAACTGTTTGTAACATTTGAATCTGGTTCGCACGTGACGTCACTTGCGCGGAGTCGACGAGTTTTCGTTTTATAACTAGAATACCGGTTTTTGTGTATCATGGATTTTTCCATGCCTTTCATGGTGAAATACTAGTATTAACGTCCAATGATTTCAGCAAGATCAATCCACCATTGGACAACGGTTGTTCGACAAACAGGTGCACAAATATAGGTTATATAACCCTCAAATATAACTTTATATAGTAATTCCTATAAAAGGACCAATCGAGAAATTCAGAAATATTTCTGTCCCTTCTGGGTCAAAAAGTCATCTATTTTTCAGACTCTTTCAACAGATGTAAAAAACGTGATAAATTAAAAACACCCAAGATGTCTAAATACAGTAGGAGTAACTTTTGACCACAAGACATAAAAATGATACGACAAATGATACCACAGAGTGTGCGCATAATTTTGCGCAACCTAGGTTACTACTGAGTACGTGTTTTGGCGTGCCCCCACCTAGCAAGTTACTCCTCCTGTATTTAGTCTTCTTGTAAACACCCTGACAAAAATTATCAAACAAACAAAAACATGCGAAAAAGTTCATATATATAATAACTGAGGTATAGAAGAAAGTTTGATCAACCCTATAATGTCAGAATTGGCAGCGACGAATTTAATAATTTTTATTTCTTCCTTAGATTTTTATTGAAGACACAGCGGAAGTGGAATTATTACCAAGGCCAAGAGTATTGGATTTTCTTCTAAAATTCCATCCTGCTGTAGCCATACCATATCTAGAACACGTCGTACACGTTTGGGAAGACACAAACTCATTTTTCCATAATGCTTTAATCCACCAATACAGAGAGAAAATCATGGAAGAAAATCTTCCATCAACCTCAGAGCACACTAGAAAAAAATTACTGCAATTTTTAGAAAACAGCGCTTATTATACAGCAGAGAATATTTTAAGTCATTTTCCCACAGATGATTTACTTGAAGCAAGGGCGATTATTTTGGGAAGGATTAATAAGCATGAACAATCCTTAGCAATTTATATAAGAGTTTTAGGAAATATTGATAAAGCATTGGATTATTGCAAGAAAGTATATGAAAAAAAGTTACCAGGGCATGAAACAGTAAGTTTTTGTTGTGTTTAAGCATTTAACAGGTTATGGATTTGTTAAAAATGAGTAATTTCACCAAAAAACGTTTTTATAATAGGTACATATATACAGGGTGTAATTAACTAACGTTAATATATTTTGGGGGGTTATTCTACATGTACAAATAAAAGAAAAAGTTGCTATAAACAAATGTCCAAAAAAGCTCCTGGGGGCGCTATATGCATTTTGAACTGTTTCGCAAAATCAGGTTTTTATTAATTATTTTAGAAACGGGTAAAGCGAAAATAATGATGCTTTATTTCTGGGGTATTTTTTGGGCAAAAATAATCTGGTGGTGTCAAATCGGATAAATAGTGACCATAGGCGTGCAAAACAGGGGATATTTGGGAAAAAATCCTCGTAACTTTTTTTTTGGGGTTTTGATAAATTCTCCATCTTGGAATACAATTTTCCAGGTAATTTTACATAAAAAATTTGCTCAAAGTCATGGAGCCAACCGTTTTCGAGAAAAACGCTAAACAAATTAAATAAACTACAACAAGAACGCACTTTATTTCGAATTTTCAACAATTATTATTTTAGTAAATGGTCAAAATGACCGCTGTTCTCTTCTACACATCTGCTAACGCGTTTTTTCATTGATCTTCAGTTTTCGAAAAATCCAGGTTTATTTTTTATGGATTCACAAGCATTTACAACCTGCGGCATTAATTCCTCTACGTTATGAATTGGGACTGCATACACCAATGATTTTAAATATCCCCTCGCACAAAAGTCGAGTGTATTTAAATCTGGAGAACGTCCTATCCATCGGGCGGCGTAAACTTCAACTAAATGTGTCCTTACGTTCGCGGAAAAATCCCCTGTTTCAGACGCCTATGGTCATTATTTATCCGATTTGACACCCGGCCATTTCAAGCGCGCGAAACGCACAAATTACAAAACTGTTTTTATAAAAAAATCTAGTTAATTTATTATATAATATTTTGACATTAAAATTGTCAAAAATATTCTTCTTTTATTAGGGTATACATTAAATAAAAATAAACGCAAAAGATCCCTGCTGAAAATGACGGATGATTGCGGATATAAATTCTTCGTCAAAACCGGATAAAATCAGATGATTGCGGGTATAAATTCTTCGTCAAAGCCGGATAAAAGCAGATAAAAGCGGGTAAAAATATCATCTGATAACATCTGCTTTTGTCCGCATCGCTATATCCGCGAACACCCGGTTGGTTGTGTTTTATGTCCGGTTAGTGCACCCCCGCAATCATCTGCAATCATCCGTTTTTAACCGTCTTCACTGTGTGTCGTTTATATCTGAATTTGTCCTGAATCATCTGCTTACGTCTGCTTACGTCTGGTTTTATCCGCGATTACCTGCATTTTTTTTGTCTATTTTTGTCTGGTTTTATCTGCAAACGTCTGGTTTTATCCGCGAGCATATGCTTTTACCCGCAAACGTCTGTCTAGTCCAATTTCACCCGCCAACTTATGCTTTTATCCGCCAACATCTGCTTTTATCCGCGACCATCTGCTTTCATCCGCGAACATCTGCAATCACCCGCGAACAACTGCTTTTATCCGCGAACATCTGCAATCACCCGCGAATATCTGCTTTTACCCGCGAACGTCTGCTTTCATACGGTTTCACCCGCAAACATGCTTTTATCTGCGAACGCCTGATATCATCCGGTTAGTGCACCCCCGCATTCACCCGAAAACATCTGCTTTCATCCGCGAACATCTGATTTTATCCGCCAACATCTGCTTTTATCCGCGAACATCTGATTTCATCCGCGAACATCTGCAGTCACCCGCGAACAACTGCTTTTATCCCCGAACATCTGCAATCACCCGCGAACATCTGCTTTCATCCGCAAACGTCTGGTTTTATCCGCAAACATGCTTTTATCTGCGAACGCCTGATTTCATCCGGTTAGTGTACCCCCGCAAACATCTGCTTTTATCCGCAAACATCTCATTTTATCCGCGAACATCTGCAATCACCCGCGAACATCTCATTTTATCGGCGAACATCTGCAATCATCCGCGAACATCTGCTTTCATCCGCGAACATCTGCTTTTATCCGCAAACATCTCATTTTATCCGCAAACATCTGCTTTTATCCGCAAACATCTGCTTTTATCCGCAAACATTTGCTTTTATCCGCAAACATCTCATTTTATTAGCGAACATCTGCTTTAATACGGTTTCATCCGCAAACATGCTTTTATCTGCAAACATCTGATTTTATCTGCAAACATCTGCTTTTATCGGCAAACATCTGCTTTTATCCGCAAACATCTGATTTTATCCGCAAACATCTGATTTTAACCGCAAACATCTGATTTTATCCGCAAACATCTGATTTTAATCGCAAACATCTGATTTTATCCCCAAACATCTGCATTTATCCGCAAATATCTGTTTTTATCCGCGAACATCTGCAAACATCTGCTTTTAATTGCAAACTTCTGCTTTCATCCGCGTTCGGTTTGCCTGCATTTCCTTTGTCCATTTCGGTCCTGTTTCGTACGCAAACGTCTGGTTTCATTCGCGCTTTTTGTTTTCCTTTTTCTCGTGTATACTTTAGTTTAGTTTACCTGCTTTGTCAAATTTTACTGAGCTTTAACTAACTGGTTGTTAGCCGTTCACGGCACACAAGTTTATAACTCTAAAAGGAATTATTTGAATAAAAACAACCTGTAAAGGAAATAAGTTTATTCAACACGACATTTTCCCAATGGGAAAATAATTTAATTATATTCACCAGATTTAAATTTAAAAATCAGGTATACTATAGCTATAGATTAAAGCAGATGTTAAAAGATAAAAGCAGATCTTTGCGGATATAAGCAGATGTTTGTAGGTGAAATCGGATGAAGCAGACTTTTGCGGACTAAAGTAGATGTTTGCGGATGAAATCAGATGTTTGTGGATTAAAATAGATGTTCGCGGATGAAAGTAGATCTTCACGTATAAAAGCAGATGTTTGCAGGTGAAATCGGATAAAGCAGACATTTGCGGATTAAAGTAGATGTTTGCGGATAAAATCAGATAAAACCGGGTGAATGCAGATATAAACCCAAATACAGGTATTTGCGGATGAAACCAGATGAAAGCAGACAGAGAACTAAATAGATAAAACCCGACGTTCGCGGATAATATTTATACCCGCAATTGCAGATAAAAACCGACATGCCGGGTAAAATCAGATATGTCGGATGAAAACAGATATAAATGGACATAAAACTAGCTTGGTTTTTTATCCGCAATCATCCGATATTACCCGTCTTTTTCAGCAGGGATATTTTATAAAAGTAGAGATAATTTTAAGGTGTGGACGGGACAAAAAAAGATTATCTTGTTCCGTCCACACCTTTCAATTATTAAAATTATCTCTACTTTTATAAAATATTTGTTTGCATAATTTTTTTATTGAAACAGTTTTGTGATTTGTCCCGTCCGTATGGTTGAAATGGCCGCACCACCAGACGTATCATTATTTTAACACTAACCGTTTCTGAAATAATTAATAAAAACCTGATTTTGCAAAACAGTTTATAGCATCTTTTTTTATTTTTACGTGTAGAATTAACCCCCGAAATACATATTTAACGTTATTTCCGGACACCCTGTATAATAAGTTATAACATAACGTAACATAATGTTTTTAAAATATTCTTCATAAAGTTTAATACACTTTTAATTTAATTTAAAATTTTCGTTGCACTTTTTTTACTTCAAAACATACATGTCCTTACATATAGCTCACACATTCGTATTGTATTTTAAAGCCATAGGAGCGCTGGCATGTTTCAATGTAGCTATATATTTATGTCGAAAAATAGGTTTTTGACATTTTACATTGATGACGTAAGGGCCAAGTTAAAACACAAATTATATCTGTCAGAAAATCGGCGTATTAAAAAAAGTCAGAATACTACCTTCTGCGGATTAAGGTAAAAACTAATTTTTTTCTTATAGAAAACGGTATTATTATTATTATTATTATTATTTGGATTCGGGTCCCCTTGGGAGCCAGGCAGGTCTCATTGCTGGTCCCTGTCTGGGTCACACAAGCTCTTTTGAGCTCTTTGTGATCCCCTGTATCTGCATATTCTGTCGACTCCCAGGTCCACCCCCTAATCCCAGTCCTCTTCCAAAAGCCCAAGATCGTGTTTGAGGTGCAGCTATTTAGAGTCCTCAGATCCATAGTCACTACTCCCCGGCAGCTCCATATAAGTCTTGTCTGCACGTGCAGTAGGGTTTCATACCCCCTACCACACATCTGCACTTAGCGTCCACGTCGTGTCATATTTTTCAGCGGTGATACATAAAGCCCGATGTTTTTCCTATTTACTTTGGGATGCTAGCTACCAGGCACTTTCCAGGACCTCTCGGCAGTCTTCCACGTTGAGGTCACCGTTGTGGAAACGAGAACCGCCGATGGCGCTCTGCTGTCCGTACAGACAGCTATTTGCCTTCCTCTTTTATTGAGCTTTTTTATGGCCCTGGCACATTCTGGGTTGGCTTTAATCTCCGCCTGGAAGACCGAGGCATATTTTTCCAACGAAATGCTCAGCCTCATTGTCCGTACACATATATTCCGGACCACTCCTCTCCCCTTGACGGAGCCGTCTGTATACTAGACATCCCTGCTTGGGGGTATGATGAGTGCCCTGCCTCGGTCCTGCCCTCTATATATGTGATCGTTGCACTGCAGGGAATTCTAGGCGTTTTTTCACCCTATCGAGGAGACCCCGGCCAATCTCCTCCAACAGTGTTTAGTTTCTTGAAAAAGGACAACTTTGGTGAAATGTTAAACAATTATTAGAAATATTCTCCAACACCAAAATAAAAAACACAACTAGCTTGTTTCTTTTCACAACGAGTTACACTTCGTTTCTGAAGATGCCAACATCGTTGGCAAAGAGTACTTTAAGTTTGGGGAATATTTCTAATATTTGTTAAGAGTGTTTAGTCTTAACCGGGTGTGCTTAGG